TCTCGAGAAAAAAGGTCCCTTGTGATTGTGGAAACTTGGCCCTACTGATTATTTCATATATACGCACAACTTGCTAACCATGCAAACGTTCAATTCTCTACAGAGCAGCTCAGACCTGAATAATACCCACCCAGTCTCTTGGCAAGCCGCATATATGCTGTGATAAAACAAAAACCATATCTGCTTGTCCACACCACAACATCCACAACCTGTTAAGACCACATAGAATATTTAGCTTTGGAATGCATCTTTTTATTAAAGAGGAGTTGCCTCTGATTTTCCATATCTTTGTCACCCTTTGATGTCAATTACATTATTTTCTTGTGGCAGCCACGTGCCAATGTGTAATGCTTATTTTCTTTTTGCTTAATCAGTGTAAATCTAATTGATGTGTAGCAGATTTTCTTATCCTTGATAAACAGAACTTACTTAAATCTACTTACTAGGGGATGGATAATATCATACTTAGCCTAATCTGTTATTCAAGTTAATATGGTCAAATACATTTTAGTTATTTAGCCCGACCAGGCAGATTTCAGGTAGGGATGGCCTCGGGCCGGTTCGGGCCTAGGCCCGGCCGGGCCTCGGTTCAGAAAAATGAGGCCCGAGCCCGAACCGGTGGTGGGCGGTTCCGGGTCCGGTTCCGGGCCAGACCGGGCCGGGCCACCCGGTTTTTTTCTTCTTCTTCTCTTATTTAACCCCCTATCCCTCCTCCTCCACCCAAAACCACCTCAAATGGCCCAAAATACCTAATCCAACCCAAAACTTTAAAAAATTTCAAAAAAAAAAAATTAAATTCCGGCCTGAACCGGCCGGGCCGGTTCACCAAAACATAGGCCCGAGCCCGAACCGCCCAAAGGCCGGACCGGTTCGACCCGAACCGCTGGGCCCACCGGTTCCCGGGCCGGGCCGGGCCAACAGTAACCGGGCCGGGCCGGTTTCGGGTCGGGCTGCCCGGCCCAAGTCCATCCCTAATTTCAGGACACTTTATGCCTTTATGCAGTTCAACAGTCTTCTCTATACGTTATACGTAGGGAGCTGTAGTAATTAAGAGAGCGATTTTTCAGAGTAAATCATATTGACTACTTTTGTCTTAGATTAGATTTTTGTAGCGTTCGTGATTTATGTACCAAAGACTCATTCAATTTTATTGAGAATAATGAAAATTATGATACAGAAAGGACCACAAACAAATTATATGTATAAGCTTAAAAGGCACTGATATTTTAATAGATAAACGAAAAATGATTTTAAATCAATGCAGAGAGTATTGGATAAGCGGGCCTAAGGTGCTTGCTCCTCTTGTCTCTTAGAGCTGGCCCTAATGGGACAATGCTAATGCAGTGGTTCTGTTGAGATGACAGTGTAATTAATGGACTTCTGCCTATGTTTTAGTAATAGGTCGAATCAATCAAATGATAGTTTGAAAAGCCATAGAAGTGTGAAAATTGTATTGACACATGAAATGTATGCACAAAATGTGTACACATCCTTTAGTTGTCTGTGTAGACTGTGTGTCTGTGTATAGATAATTCAAAATGTGTACATTAAAGTCTAAAATGACATAGATAATTCAAAATGTGTACACTAAAAATGATTGTAGAAGGTTAGTGTACACACTTTTAGTGCAATATGTGTACACTAAAAATGATTGTAGAAGTTCATAATGGAAAGCAAGGGATATGTGCTTCGAATTGCTGGAATGACATGCAAGTATGCAACTAATATAAACATAAACTAAACTACAATGATATGTGGTGAGTGAATGAAATTAAAACTCGCTAAATCAACTACCAAGAATCATGCAAAAGGGGTTCTACATGTAGGGAAGGATTGTCAAGATCATATACTATCAATGTCTTTACATACAAGAGTTATGCATGTAGGATTCCTCGCCACTCTTATAGTTGCAAGACTAAGATAGTTGGTGAAAGTGTACTTTTGTTTTTTAATTCTCACAAACATGAAATTGGTTTAATAAGTTGTTTAATAACAATGGTTATGCAAATAGCATTTTAGATCATATAATTAGTTTCTAGCAAATATGAGAGTATTGATATTCTGCTAGAGACCAAGCTGAGTATTGGTATAAGTAGGGGTATACCGATCCATATTTACATCAAGGATCCATATTTACATTATGGGTGAAGACTGAAGACAATGAAGTTATTCAACTGGCCAACCCAACCCAACTCGGTCTAGCCCATGGTGGGTTGTATTTTCTTTGGATTGAGGAGGATAACTCACACAATAATAAGTTAATGTTTTTGTGCAAAATTTTAAAAAAGTTTTGTAGCTCTAACCCAATTTTAAAAGTTTCAGCATAATTATAAATTTTATTCTTATCATTTACCAAACATGTTCTTTATATTCTTGTAGCTCTAACCCAACCCATGCATATATATTATCTACTACTTTTACGAGCCAACTCACATGACAAAACAAAAAGTACTTTGAATATAATTTTGAATTTTATAATAAAAATAAAAATAAAAAGCCAACAACAGTAAGACATTCTTTTAGTTTAATGAAATAAGTAAATAACTAAAATGTTAAACTACCTCCATCCTAAATTTTCTTCCCATTTTAACTTGGCACATTTGTTATTAAAGTGAAAATATATGATTTACGGTTGATGTGGAAAAAGAGAAAAATGTTAATGACACAAATTCATTTCTTAAAATGAAAGGATGAGACCTATTTAAAAGGAAAATTAGAAAGAAAAATGCGACAAAGGAAGTATTATAGTACTACATTCTATATAAGTACTTTCTCCTTTCCATCAATATATGCCAAATACTTCTTCAGTTTTAACCTCGAGGGCTCGAGGGAGTCGAGGCTAACACGCAACTTGCACATGAACTCCTGAAGGTCCATCAAATATGTAACCGCGAGCGCCTAGCGGCGATGAAACCACCAAAATATCATGGTCTGAATATAACAAAACTAACCACCGTAATAGGTTGAAATACACAAACTCGCATGTAGAGCTACTTTTCACGACAAATTTTATAGTTATAATTGTGAGATGAAAACTCTATGTGATTTTTGGACTCACAATAACAATAATAATCTACGAACTGTGTGAATTTACTTGCATGAAAGCTCTATGGGTGTTGATAGACATAGACATTGTTGTACTAGATTTTAAAGAAATTATCTAAATATTAGTAAAAAGGTTTTGAAATTCCAAATTATGAATAATGTGTTTTTATTGTAAATATGAGTAACTACCGTCGTCATACTTAGAAAGTACTAACAAACATGGTAGTATATTGCTATGCGCCTATACTTAAAGTTTGAAATTGTCAAAATATGATAGTAAAATTCTAGAGTGATAGTAAGTTACTCTTAGGCTTTGTTTGCAACCATTTGTGCTTAAATAAAAGCACTTTTTGGGAAAAAGTGATTAGTAGTAAAAGTTGGTAGTGTTTGATACAATAAGTGCGTTTTGTGTAATAGAAAAAGTAAAAAGTAGATTCTACACGAAAACCGAGATAGTAAAAGTTGGTAGTGTTTGATAAAATAAGTGCTTTTTTCTTAAAAAAAAGCCAAAAGCACTTATAAATAGAGTTTGCAAACAGAGCCTTATTCAAGGAAAAAGCATACTACATAATGCTTATGTTTTAAAATTTTACAATATTTTCACTCTTATTTTGTAATTTTTCCCTAATTTTTTATTATTTCATCCACCCATTCATTCATCCATCACATCTTCACATTATGGCATACAATTATGTAAAACCATTGTTGCGTTCATGATCAAACCTTTGTTCTAAGAGGAATCAAATAGCTCGACATGTCTCACAAAATTTTCCATTTTCCTTCCTTTCCAAAAAATCTTCCTTTTTTCTTCTTTGCTACAAAAGAGTACACTTTTGTGAAGATTTTGTAAGATATACTGAGCTATCAAATTGCTGTCAGAACAATTTCAATAATAGGTGGACATAATAAGAATCTTTGCCTTTGTTTTTTTACTACAGGAGGTCAGGGGGGAGGGGGCCTGAAGTAATATGAGTTGAAGCTCACTCCATTGAGTTTCGAACTCTTATGTCCTTAGCGGGTTTCGAACTCGAGACCTTCCACTAGGCACGGTAACCTCACAACCAGTTGGACTGAAATGTTTGTTTGAATCTTTGTTTTCCTCACACACATGACAACTTCTTATGAACCTACAAAGCCATTATAAATAAACACTAACTAAATTGGAACATAATAAATATGAGCATATTTGGTAACACTAGTTGAGTTGATTGAATCTATTGAAAATGATGAAATTCTAATTAAATTTGCTAAATTATAGAAAAATACATTTAAAATACCACATACTATCTATATTTTATGAATAAAATAAAGAAAAAAAATTGAAGAAAATTACAATAATCATCTATAATAATTTCAATCAAAACTAATTTTAACCTTACTATTTCTATGTGTTAGTCCAATATTACCATGTAAACATAGCATACATCACACAAAAAGTTAGATTTTATCTTTGCTTATATAATATTTGAAATGATTTCAAATTGAATTTTAAAATAACATTTTAAAGTACAAATAGTACACAAAAAAACATACTCCCTCCGTAACATTCATATCTTCCCACTTTCCTTTTCTGGATGTAACATTTATATATTCCCATTTCTAAATCTTCCCATCATACCCTCAATAATTTAAAAAATAATATACTACTACACCTACTTTTTTTGGATTTATCCTTCACTCCATCACATTATTTCACCATCTTCCCATTATACTCTCAATAATTCATACCCCATTTCACTATTCTTAATCTCATCCACTTTGGAAGTGCGTAGATATATGTGATACGGAGGGAGTAGTACATTTATCAGTTTTTATCGAACACTTCTTTAAATAGGTTTGCATGTTTGATGGTGTCTATTCCAATTGTTGCAAAAAATAGTCTACATCACAAAAAAGAATTAACCCATTTTTCCCGGGCTGTTGAAATCATTCACTTGCATACTGAACTCACTCATAATATCCAAGAATCCAAGAAGAATATACGAGACAACACTCCTCAGATATGGGTGATCATTAATTTAATGCCTAGAAATGGGTGATCATTAGATTAATAAGCTAAAACCAACATTAATCCAAATTCTTAGGTGTATATTTTTTGGGTAAAAAAGAAAGTAGGAATGGCAGGCATGGGGTTCGTCAATGTCACTGTCACTGTCAGGCATCCAGTCCTGCGGAGGTTGCAGAACGAGGGCGTTAAAAGAAAAGCATCGCGGTAACAACTGACAAGGCTGGCCAATTTCGTAAATCCCTCAAACTTCAGGGGCTTACAGCTAAGTTTCTTTGCAGAAACAGCACAGCCAGTTGGTGAGGTGATGAGGATTGGGATTTGAAAGTGAAGAGCAGAAAGCAAAAGTGAAAGCAAAAGAAGCAATTTTTCAGTTTCTCGTACCTACACATACAGAGAGAGAGAGAGAGGCGAACCTCCCCAGAAAGCATTTTTTGAATCTCGCTGTTCATGTTTCTGTGGTACGTACATTTCGTCAGTTTGCTTCTCTGCGTGTATATTCTTAGGTTATCTATACAATTATTCGTGCGTGTTTCACATGGGGGAAGTACCGAAGAACTAGGAATCAGATCCGGGATCTTTTTCCTCTTTCCTTCGTGTTCTCGGTTATATTCTCGGTTTTTCTTTGTGGGTTTATAAAAAAAGCGGGCTTGTTCTTTCCAGATTTGAAGCCGGGATTATGTGTTACTGAAGTTCGTTTACATACATCACAAGAAGATTGACAATGCCAAATGCACTGTAAGATTACTGCGTGAAAGAAAATAGAAACTTCACTTCAGATTGGATCTGAGAATTTAATGGTTTGGCAAAGCCTTTGAGGTTATCTGAGGTTTTGCTGGGAATTGGATGAATGATGGAAGACTGGTCCAAGTATTCTCATAGCCCAGTTCATTTGGCAGTATTAAAGCAAGATCATGCAGCTTTAAAGCAGATTGTTTCATCCTTGCCCAAGCTAGCCAAGGCTGGGGAGGTAAAAACCGAGCCCCAATCTCTGGCTGCTGAGAATGATGCCGATGCTATTTCTGCAGTGATAGACAGGCGAGATGTCCCCAACCGCGAGACTCCATTGCATCTTGCGGTTAGGCTAAAGGATCCCACCTCGGCCGAGATATTAATGGCTGCTGGTGCAGACTGGAGTCTTCAGAATGAGCAGGGATGGAGTGCCCTTCAAGAGGCAGTCTGTACTCGGGAGGAGAACATTGCTATGATCATTGCACGCCATTACCAACCTCTAGCTTGGGCGAAATGGTGTCGTAGGCTCCCAAGAATTATTGCTTCCACAGCCCGGATTCGAGACTTTTACATGGAGATATCCTTTCACTTTGAGAGCTCGGTAATACCCTTCATTGGCAGGATTGCGCCCTCGGATACATACCGGATTTGGAAACGGGGATCCAATCTCCGTGCGGACATGACCCTTGCTGGATTTGACGGGTTCCGGATTCAACGGTCGGATCAAACATTTCTTTTCCTGGGAGAAGGTAAACTTGAATATTGTCAGCAAACCCTAACCCTAATTGGGCCTAATCCATCATGTGTCTAGAGTCTAGACTCTAGACTCCAGATTTCTATGTGTGTTTGTTGTGATGGCTTCACATGAAGAAAAACAATAACACTCTATAATTCATTATTTCGACGTGGCATGTGATTCTGTTTGATCCCAGTTTTCTCGTAGGCCTTGTGTTGAGGGGTATGTTACGTACTCCTTATCATACACCAGACTTTTATGGGTTTGAGTCTAGTATATACGTGTGAGTTAAACCTCAAGTCTTGAGATTCCTTTTAGGAGAGAGTTAGAAATGCATGCATGCGTTTTTGTGTCATGTAATGATTTCACATAGAGAAAATAAAACAATATCCTACATCTCAACAGGCAATGCATCTCTTGCTCCGGGATCATTGATTGTTCTTGCTCACAAGGAGAAAGAAATAACCAATGCTCTCGAAGGAGCAGGTATTCAACCAACGGAATCTGAAGTTGCCCGTGAAGTGGCTTTGATGTCCCAAACAAACATGTATAGACCCGGTATAGATGTCACACAGGCTCAACTTATACCCCACTTGAATTGGAGACGCCAGGAGCGCGCTGAGATGGTGGGCGCTTGGAAAGCTAAAGTGTATGACATGCTTCAAGTGATGGTAAGTGTGAAGTCAAGGCGGGTCCCTGGTGCAATGACGGATGAGGAACTGTTCTCAACGAATGAAGAGGACAATATCGGAAACAGTGAGTATGATGATGATGTGTTAACTGCCGAGGAAAGGGTTCAGTTAGATTCAGCACTTCGTGGCAATCCAGATGAAGAGGATGAGGAGGAGCGTGGCGATGATGCTTCGTATGGGAGCAGTGAATTGAATAGCAAAGAAAAGAAAAGTTGGTTTGGTTGGAATAAGAGATGTTCAAAATTGTCCTCTGAGGACGGAAAGCAAACACCAAGTGGTAGTCGCAGATCGTCCTCAGAATTTAGTAAGGATGATACAGGGGAGGGAAGAAAGGGAAAAGATAAAAGCAGCAAGGAGAAGAAGAAGAAGAAAAAGAAATCTGGTGAGGTAAAAAATGAGAGTGAATATAAAAAGGGGTTAAGGCCTGTTTTATGGTTGACACCTGATTTCCCATTGAAAACGGAGGAACTTTTGCCATTGCTTGATATATTAGCAAACAAGGTTAAAGCGGTCAGAAGGCTTAGAGAACTATTAACTACTAAGCTGCCTCCTGGCACATTTCCTGTCAAGGTATTGATTAATCTTTTTTTTTTTGCCATTTCTTACTACATTAAATATATGTTGGTGCTTCTATTTCTACTTGTTTCTTACTTAGCCTTCTTTTTTATAAACATTTTGCTTCAACAAGGAATTAGTTGTTTGGAAAGCAAAATTAGAAACATATAAAAGAGTTAAATACTTTTGCTGAATTCTGGGTATGGCATATAATTCACAAATTCCCTTTATAAGGTACCACTGTTATTGTTATGCTCTTTGTAGATCTAAATTAATTACTCATATCATTTTTACTGAGTCAAAACTAGTGTTACTGTTTGAGGTCATGTATCAATTGTCATATTTGAAATGGCATCATTATATGCCTGTGGTGATGGCAAAATTGACTAAAATGGTAGGATGGACTGAATTGATTTAAAAATGTATTTCTAAAACCAATCAAATGAAATAAAATCCAATAGTCCAAGAGTCACTTATCTTCATTGTAGCCTAAATATTACGGAGTACCTATGAACTATCAATTTTAATTATCATCCAGTTTAGTTAATGCAGTAAAAAAATGTTGGTTTTTGGTATAAACATGGTGAACAAGGTAGATAAACAAAATGAGGTGGGTACCAAACAAAGCCTATGGCTGTTTTTGCTTAGTTATGAATAGATTATTCATAACTATAATTCAAAATTGCTGATCATCTGAATCCCACATATTAACAGGCTAGAATTGCTATATGCTTAGTCTGTAAGTTACTAGAACCTGATAAATGCAAATAAATACTCCGTAACAAGTACCATCGACATTTTGTGAATGCTTTGGGACATTTTTATTATCCTAATTAAGAGCCTCCTTGATGCATGCTAATTTGGCGTTGTTTTTGTAATTTTTCGTTAATGCACTACTTCCCAATTCGGCAGAAGATGGACAGTAACAGTAGGTTTGGGTGCAGCACTTGCTTTCTTCTGGCTCTGTTTTATGTTTGTAAAATTATGCTGAGATTTTTAGTTTGCGATAGAAATGGTGTACGAGTTAAGACTAAATAAGTACTTTTTGATGTGGTGTATGCATTTTTGGTGTAAAAATGAATATGCTGAGATTATTTTGTGTGATAAAACTTTCATGAGTTGCATTAAGATGGTGAAAAGTAAGTACTGTTTGGTGTGATGTTTATGCCAATTTAAGTGTATAAGTGTTGGAAATGAAGCTGATCTTAGTAACGACTTTAACAATTTAATTGTGGTTTGTCATACTACCAAATGGTCCTCTAGGCTTCTCAGAGTTACCTATAATCCCCTGGTCAGTTTGTTTTTCCGCTAATGAGAGTGAAAGATGATCATATACTATGCTATTAGTAGGAAGTGAATTATGCTCTAAAATGAAGGCTCACAATTATGTTAATATCATTAAGTATATACTCCGTAATTCTTAGAATTAAAAGAGTCGTTTGTGGAAAATTTAATTGGTCAAGGGGCTTAATAGTCATTTTCAGAAACCTCTAGGTTCATTTGGTAAGTTGACTGTACCTCTGGAGTGATAGATGTATTTCTTGGAAACAAATCGAGCCTGTAAATAAGAGAAATACACTGCTTTATTCATTCTGACTTCTGAGGCACTTCGTTTACAGAGTTTTCTGTTAAGTTAAGCTGAAAAATGGAGATTGTACTGTGCTAACAAAAATGACTTTTGGCCTCGTCAGATCGCAATCCCAATTGTACCCACCATTAGAGTTCTCGTCACATTCACAAAGTTTGAGGAGCTTCAGCCGGTTGAAGAGTTTTCAACCCCGGTGTCAAGCCCCACACACTTCCAAGACGCCAAATCAGAAAGTTCGAACTCCTCATGGATTTCGTGGATGAGAGGAAGCCATGGTGGTGCAGAAAGTGAAAGTCGAAGAAGCTTTCGAGAAGACTTTGACCCTTTTCATATACCGCCAGATTATTCCTGGGTTGATGCAAATGAGAAGAAACGCCGAATGAGAGCTAAGAAAGCAAAGATCAAGAAGCAGCATAAAAAGCACACTGCTGCCACTGAAGAATAGTACGTTTTACTCTTTTCTTGCATGTCTGAGCCTTATCATTTTGTATGATGGCTATTGGTTACTATCCACAATTCCACATAGTAGTGACAGGATCCCATTCTTGTTATTACTTTAGATAGATAGAAGGGTAACCTTTCATTTTCTGCTTTCTTTTGTATTGTGTGTGATTGAATGTGAATGAGAGAGAACAAGAGATCCCACCTTCCATAGTTTCTTAGGCCAGTTTCTAATGAATCCATGCCACCTTCCCATTCCTAACGGGTTTTTCCGAGCTTGTAAACCAGTGTGAGTGGTGAGTTTTGAAGCTTTAAAGTGTTGTGTTATCACTACCATTGAGTTTTAAGTGCAAGTGTATAACTACAGTACTAATTGTTGGCACAACCAACTAGAGTTGGAGTTGACCTATTTATATGAAGTTTCAATTCTTACAAATGAACGATCCGACCGGCAGTCTTGGTGATGAAATTAGGATTGGATTGACAGTGTAAATCACGATTTGACCAGAGCTGAGACTGGCCTACCCACAGTTATAGTTCAGGTAATTCTTGTAGGAAAGAAAAAAAATGCCAAGATAAAACACTGTACAGACTCCATAAAATGTTTTCATAAGTTCCAAGATTAGTACAAGTTTGAAAGTTTCCCGGCCTCCGGCCATAGAATTTATACGGAGAGTATTTCAAAACTGGCACTATTAGTACAAGTTTGAAATGTAACTAAAAAACTAAGAACTGACATTGATGTGGAACGAGCCACTGGTTACAATTAAATATTGATTGAGCTTTTTTAACAATTTAATAATTTGCACATATTTAGATTTTTTAGTTTGTGTATAATAGAAATGATATTTAAGTAAAACGAGTTTGGACAAATATCAAATATTGATGGTTGTGTTCCGCCTTTTTGCTTACATTTCGTTTCCTTCTGGCTTTCTTGTACTCAGCCCTATTTAGTCCCATGTTTGACTTGGATAATTTTTTCTACATATTTGCCTCCTATTTAGGGATTTTTGTATGTTTTCTTCCCCCCACGGAACAATCACATTGCCACCAATAAAGGCAACCTCTTTACCAAATCTTAAGCCTATGTTTTGGATCCCGGAAAATCTTGAAAAAGGAAAAAATGGTAAGTAAAGTTACTCTCCAAAGTGTCAAGTAAAATGAATTATTATTGATGGTTCTATTCTTTAATATGTTTAGATTACTTAGTATTTACATAATAGAAATAAACCAGAACAGGTGAGATAGAACATTTTCTTTGACTACAATTGAAATTTGAACCAGTATTTTATTTTCCTTGACATTTTCTTTGCTTCCAAATTTATTGTATATTTTTCTCTCTATTCCCCCCTAGCATTTTCAGTGTTCCCAACGGACCCTAAATAGTTGGGTTTTTAACTGAAGTTCTTGTAATCTTTGTCAGTCTCATTGCAACTGCTTGAGAAAAGGATTTAAACTTGTAGTGAAATTTTATGATACATAATTACAAATGTACATACTACAAAGTACAAATGTAAGAAGCTATTCATACATGGTTGTCAAAATGTCAATTGCCACGCCCTTAACAATATGTACTATTTTGGCTAATGCTTTGAGACACTTAACACATATGATATGTGAATACTTGAGATGCCACCTGAGACAGCAGGGTTCTACCAAAACCGATCCTTGTTGACGCTCAAGAATCCCGACATGACTTTCCCTCCAGTATTCCTCATACCGTCAATGAGATAGCTCCAAGTTGAGCCCAATGCCCCGATGAAGAAGTCAGCTTCGGTGGCCATCAAGAAGTTGACTAGCGGGTAGTTCGTGCTAACTTCCCTACCAAGACTAGCTTCATAGGTTGCCATTGTCACGTTACCCACTTGTCGTGTGACATTAGTGTAGTAGAACTTCCAATGGGGATACGTCAGCGTTTTATCAATCACCTCCTGAATATCAAAATTTCAACTAGTATAACAAAACTGTATGTTTAAAGAAACAAGGATCTATGCAATGTGGTTCTAAAGGGCGTTAGAGGCTATTGGATAACAGGAGACCGAAGCATAATTAGGGATGACCGCAGTTTGATTCCAAACCGGCTAGTTCTGGGTAACATTAAGGGAGAAACTGGGACCTTAACCTCCTATTACCTGGGTTCCAGTTATGTTCAACCTCCTATATATTTAAGGGCAGAAAGCTTTCTATTTTATGTCATAGGTCACTCCTTTCTTTGTTCAACGTTTTTCCACATTCAGTGCTAGATTTTGGATTTCTTGCAACTTGTGGTCTTTTGACTCACTTATAAGGTGAGAATTAAAGGGAATTGGCTTGATTTGGTTAAAATGACCCAAAAGTGGCAAAGAATCCTGGATAGTATACCAAAAGCGGATAAAAATGAATGCGGGTGAGCAAAAGTGGGAATGACCAAATAGTCATGGGACCAAATGTGAACTTTATTTACAAAATAGGTGACCAACTCACCAAAGGGAAACTTAGCGCCTATGAATGAACAAGGTGGGATTTTTCATAACCAAGACATGTGGAGCTGTCCTATAATACCTGCATTTCAGTGGAAAGCCAAATGCTGTTCAGTTCGGGGAAGTTTTTTCGTATGCGCTCCGCAAGTTGCATATAATCTTCAAATCCGACAACCTTCATTTCACACGCCTTGTCTCCCATTCTAACATGCATGCTCAACAATGGCCTAGGAGTCCATGGTTTATGACTAGACCATACAAATTTTTCCATGTCATAATATCTGGTCTTCTCTGCATCATCTTGCTGAAGGAAGAAAAGAGATTAAAGAACAATCGGTTTCAGACATACTTGAGTTTTTCAAAATTTAAAAAGTACTTTCTAGACTTCTAGTATATTGTGGCACACTGTTACAGAATACAGACAGAAAAAAATTGAACTAACCTCTGGATAATAATTGACTGGAGTTTCAAGAACCATCCTTGCTGCTTCCTGACCAAATGCTGAATGCCTAGCAATGTTTAGTAAGCTGCATGTGTAGTCTGTCTTAAACCTCATCAGATATCGCACTGCCTGATGAATATGTACAAATCAGCACCAGCATACCCTTAATCTATCACAACTTTGGAAGAACATTATAGCTCTATCCTTCACAAACAGCTACTTTTCTACTTTTATTTTCTTATTGATGACTTTTAACTTGCAACTTCATAAATTCTAAACACATGCAAAGCAATGCTCCTATAGAGAAATAAAGGAAACCTCAACCTTTTGACCTAATGACAATAGCTGAGTAGTAAACTATAGTATGGAGTAGTACTAAAACAAGGATTATGATGTTTCTATGATTATTATTATCACATGCTTTATCATATCACATTTGGTAAAATAGTGAATTTAACCTGAGCCCTCCACCATCTCCGGTCCATTTTACGGTGATAAGCAACTAGGGTCCCATTTACTTCTGTGGTGGGCTGTAAATAACTCCAAGGGCTGCCCCATACCCTGCAACACAAATTTTATCGCGAGTATATTGTTTAGAAGGCTCTTAATGACTTAGTGTTGAGCTAAATAATGAAGCAGGAATAAGGGAAAGTTTACCTGGGAATTCGTCCCGCCCATATTTCTTTTGAGGTATAATTCTCTTTTACAGTTATGATCCCTTCATCCCAGGCTTTCTTCTGTCCCATAAGCCGAAATGCACGTTCCCTGCATTCTTGTGATGTTTCTGGAAAGAAGTAGCAAGACCAACTAGAACGCGATGAATCTGTAAAAAAATGGAGACAAAAGAAAAGATTATTCCTACAACATTTATTTACAACCAAGTGTGAGCAAATTCAGGTCTAGACTCGACAACTGAACCAGAACGGCTCCTGTCAGTCGAGATTAGAACCAAACCAGTTTTATATCGGTCAGTTTTTGGTCTTCTATTTTGTATTTTTTAAATCTACATATATTTATTGGTATACATTCTTCAAATCTTAACTTATTCGTTTGCTATTTTACTAATTTACTAATGAACTAATTTATACAAGACAATTTAAAAAAAAACATAAAGACCTAGCCAAGCATTTTTTAAGTGCACTTCTGGTCCAATATTGGTCTGGTCGGGTCCTAGACTGATGATCAGCTAGAAAGAAAGGGTTAGAACATTTAAATGCTACTCTTTGACCACCTTTGCAACCATCGTGGTCAGCACGGTTATAGTAGTTGGTTACAAGTACCCTTTTGTGGTTAATAGCAATGGCAAGAAGACCAGACATTCCTGCAAACTGAGCTCCCATACCGAATCCAGGCAGCCTCTCCCAATCTGCTACCAAAAACTTCACACTTTGGTCACTGCAGTTCAACGGGTGCTGATGGATCCAAATGTCACGTTGCACTTTCCTGGTCAAAGGGTAGTTCTCTTCATCTGATCCCTTTATCTGCATTTAGCATTACTTCTTTGAGCTTTCGAAATGTTGGGACTATTACTTGGCTTTTACACATTAGAAATTGCACTTGATCTTAACATTATATTTCATCGTTCAACTAATCATCTTATTGGACTAAACGGAAAACCATGGTCAAGGTCGTGTTGCATGAATACATAAGAGTTAACTAACTTAAAAGTTGATGATGATACTACTATTCATGCTTTAGGTGGGGAAAATTGGTTGAAATGATTGCATACGCTGAAGTTATAGTTCAAATTAAATACAGAGTGATTAGCTAAAATGTTTATATTTAGTTATATTGAAAACAAGACTTAAAAAAAAAAATACTAATTAAAATGTGAGGGTAAAATGGTCATTTATGTCCATTTCAGCCCATTAGATTAAAATTAGTTGAAATGACTGAATTTTTGCTGAAAGAATGGTTAAAATAGCAGAATTGGCTGAACTATTCATAATAAGAAAAAGAACTAATATATGAGATGGAGGGGTCATTTTCTCTATTTCAGCTCTCTAGGTAAAAAACAAATATCTTCACATCTACACTACTTTTTTATGTAATAAAGTACAAGAACAGGAAGGGCACTAAATTATTGAAAACGGTTAATGTGTAATGATCACATACCCAAGGAGGATAAGCTCCTTCAGATATTGCATTGTGTCTATAATACCCTTGCTGTTCATCTGTCTTGGACAAAGGAAACTTATCCAACATTCCCTTCCAAATAGTCCATGGAGGAAAGCGTTCATTCTCAGCACGACTGTCTAGCCTTTTATTTACTCTGTCACTCAACTTGCAATTCTCGACATAAGGGGCTTTCGGCGCATTGGAACTAACCAATCTTTTATCTGGTGATAAATCACCACCTTCCCCCATTGATTGGTGTAGTAAATTGCTCCACATTGTGTACAAAGAAACTGCTCTTTCATCTGTATTTACTGTGAAATTTTCTTGTGGGTAAATCCAAACTTGTGTTATGTTCTGTCTGAACTTAAAATCACCACCTGTCACATATGTACAGAAGATGATTATACTACACTAATACAAGATGCCAGATGGAGATTCATTTTAGAAGTATTTGAAACAAATCCAAAAATTGAGCCTTTAGATTCATTTATCCTTTCTTTTTTGTTTTCCTTGAAAAATTCGTATTGTATATAGGAAATAAATAATTTATTTCTTCGCCATATGATTTTGACTTTTTCTGTCCATTCTAATAGTACCAAGTGGAGAAGGTTGTTAAGTGGACAAGGGTCATAATTTTTGTAATTAAAGAAATAATGATAATTACTTTGCATAGACTCCATGATTTTTAAAATGCCTTCGACTTTTACCTAAAGTAATTAAGCAAAATTTGAAACGGAGTTGCTCCAACTTTAAGCCACTTCATACTCACTCTTGGAACACAACTTTTGACTTGTGGATTTCTTCATGAATTAGACTGCAATAATATCAACACGTAACACGTACCCCTTTTTGGTTGCAACACAAGGATTAACCTTTGGCATATGTTCAGTTTAATAAAACCAACTTTTAGAATGCTAATAATAATATAGCTTAGGGATTACTCTAAATATCCACCCTATCATACATAGGAAATATAGGTGGGAGATGTAATGCAATCAAATGCTGGGTCTCGCATCCCAAAATATAAGTCACTTTGATTTTAATGCGACTTCCAAGGAACACGTGCAAAATACGGTCATTTTCCAAAATTAACCCACAAAGTGAGACCAATTTTTTCAAAGTATGGTGAATCAAGGAAAATAGGGATAAAAGTTCTACATTAAGGAAGGACATGCTTACAAGCAAAACTTAACATACAAAGTGAACATATTGAGTATATCTTAAATTTAGTACGAGGCAATAAAGATTCAACCATGTTCATGTACACGTTTATACGCCAATTTTAGACACCCATACAGACAACTGGCTTAAAATTTTTACACACCATACAAACAACTTCCTTAAAAATTTCACATTTTTAACGAATTGGCCTGTACACATGTGCACAATGTGGACAATGTACACAGATTTTAAAGATTTTAAAGCACCTTAAGCATTGCATTTCCCAAACTCCAATATTTCGGATCACACAAATTTATATGGAGTATTTTTCAACCTTCTTTTTGGGTGTTAAGGGAAAGACTAAAACAAAGCACCACATGACGAAAAAGAGGGAAAGTAATAGGGGAGAAAAATTGATTTTAAACGGTAAACAATGATTCAACCGTGAGTTTAATAAAAGAGATGTCAGTTTTTTTGTAGAAAAAAAATAAGAAGTCATATTTTTGGAATTGAAAAGACAATTAGTAATATAAGTCGCGTTCAGTAATAATAGACGATTTTTTATGTGACATTTTATTAAGACTACTAAATAGGTCTTATTTTGGAATTAAAACATGGTCAATCTCAATTTTAAGTTTTGACCTTTATTCTCGTTTTACTCTTATTTTGAATAGTTTCTTTTGTTTCACATAATTTCTCTCTTGTTAAACCGCACCTGGAAACCTTTTTATTACTTCTGTGGACATTCAATTTCAAAAGTTATATTAATGATACTTTTTTCAAAAAATATTTCCTAAATTCCAAATAATGTGAAATTACAAAATAGAATTGCTATATTTTTTCTGTCAATAGGAGTGACTACTTTCATGAATGAAAAAGATAAAAAAAAAACATATGAATGAGTGCTATATTTTTTTTATGAATGAAAAAGACATTAATATTGCCAAATTAATGTGTCGTAATGTCAAAATATTGATTATTATTTCAGAATGACATTAGTACACTTCTATTTAGGAAAAAACATCGTATTTCTAATTTTAGATTGTCATCGCATTTCTGGATTTTGTTTTTGTTTTTTTTCAAACAGATGCACTCCTTTTTGTGTTACAGCTGAAGGAATCAAATAGATGCTCTCTGCCAATACTTTTCACTTTTTCAGCACACTTTTTTTAGAATTAAATCAAGAGTAACCATGCAAGCAACTAACAAATGGATAAATGGATAAGCATCTTCATATTCATATATAAAGATAGCCAGATAGGATAGGAAGATGGGAGCTTAACTGGAAATAGCAGTGATGAATTTAGAGGTAAAATTTGAAGGCAGAACAGTGGTGGAAAAAGTGGAAGTTGAACCAAACAGATGAAAGGCACCAAATGAAGTGAGAGCAGCAAGGAAGAAGGAGGTCAGGCAAATTCCACAAAGGAATCCAACCACACAGATTTGACATGGAAATGAACTCCCCATTTGCAGTGCTCTCTGTGAAACCACTCTTTCCAAAGATCTTTCCTTCACTTCTTCCATCTTCTTCCTCTCTTCTACCCAATTCTTCACAAGATTCCAATGATTTGATTTTTCCCACAATTTCAGCAATTCTCTCAATCAACTCCCCACAGAAATCACATGAAATTGCCCTCAATCTTCTCTCCCCTTTTGGGTTCATCTGAAATGACCCACTTCATGTTTTCCGGAAATAAGTTTCTTTTTTTTACTGACCCAAACGATATCTTTATAAAGGATAAACATTAACTTATTTAATCATTAATTAATTAGTGTATATCCTTCTGTAACTACTTATGTATATGTCTCGTGTAACTGACTACATGGAGTCATACTAGGACTCTATTACTAGCTGCATATATACGGATGTAATACTCAGTTTCTAATATCAAGAATACACATTCTCTACATGGTATCAAGAGCCATATAGAAACATTCATCAATTTTTTCTCTTTCTCTTCGCCATGGAAATTACACCAACAACCGAGATTGTTCATCTCAATGCTCCAACGAATTTTCCAATTAAGCTCTCTGCCGGCAATTTTCCAGTTTGGCGTAGGCAAGTTGAGGCTACCCTTATTGGGTATAATCTTCTTCCCTACATTGACGGATCTCTCAAACCTCCATCCAAGTTCACGGATGCTGAGAAACGGATTCCTAATCCATGTTATTCCATTTGGTATCGTCAAGATCAAATCTTGATCAGTGTGTTTCTTGGCAGTTGTACTGATTCAGTACAACCTCTCCTTTCATCTGCCACAACCTCTCAAGAAGCCTGGTCAACTCTTCTCACTAGCTATGCCAACGCTTCTCCAGGTCGCATTTTAGCCCTCAGGAACAAGTTATCTCGTAATCCTCGTGGCACTCGCTCAATATCAGATTACTTGAAAGACATGCAACAAATTGCATCTGAACTTGCTTTGGCTCAAAATCCTGTTTCGGATACTGAGTTTCAGATTTCTATTCTGAATCAATCGGGTGAAGATTATCGCCCAATTATTAGCGCTATCCGTATTAGGAATACACCCATGTCAATGATTGAGCTCTCTGACATTTTGACTGATCATGAACGGTTTTTACAAGCATCAGAAGATGCTGTCGCCTCTCTTATTCCTACGGCAAATAACACTCAGCGCTATTTGTCACATGGGTCATCTCAATCTGATTCTCGCAAGCGTGAGATCTCATCCTCTAATGGACATCGGGCACGATCTAGTCAACGCTCCTCTTCTACTACTAATGGGTATTCATCTCAGTCATCTTCTACTGGGCGTTCCACTCCTATTTGCAGGTTCTGCAACTTTCCAGGACACGTGGTTAAAGATTGTCGCAAACTGGCTCGTTTTTTACGTGACAATCATCTCAGTGCATCTCCTATGGTGCATCACACCATGACTAATGCAGGTTCTTCTCAGCCTTGGATGTTTGACTCTGGTGCGTCTCACCATACAGCTTCCGGTGTGGCTTCTTTACAAGAGTTTTCTACCTACGATGGTCCGGATGAGATTCGTTTGGGTAATGGTATGTCTCTTCCCATTTCTCACATTGGTCACACTACTGTTTCAACATCTAACCGTCCTCTCACCCTTACAAATGTTCTTTGTGTTCCCACTCTTCATAAAAATCTTGTTTCGGTTTCCCAACTTTGTCATACTAATCATGTTTCTGTGGAATTTTTCCCTTCCTATTTTCTTGTTAAGGATCAGAAAACGGGAAGTCCGCTCATGAAGGGTAAAAACATCAATGGCGTTTATTATGCACCATCGGCACATCCTCCGAGTATTAATGCCACCAGTTTGTCCAGCGTATCTCAGTTTCATCACAGTCTTGGTCATCCATCAAATAAAATCTTAGCTACTATATTCAATAAATGTAATATGACTGTACCTCATCGGTCCATTAGTGATTTTGTTTGTAATTCTTGCAATATCAATAAAAGTCATAAATTGCCCTTTACCACTAATTCTCTCACAAGTACTCATCCTCTAGACCTTATTTATACTGATGTTTGGAGTACTAAACAAAAGTCTGCTGATGGCTATCTTTATTATGTTATATTTGTGGATCATTTCACCAAATATAGTTGGCTCTATCCTCTAAAGAAAAAATCAGATGTATGTGCCATCTTTCCACAGTTTAAAAGGCTTGTTGAGAATAAATTCAAACACAACATTGTAACGTTGTTTTCGGACAATGGGGGTGAATTTATTAAATTACTACCCGGTCTCAATTTAGCTGGTATATCTCACATTACCACTCCTCCTCACACTCCTGAACAGAATGGGACCGCTGAGCGTCGCCATCGTCACATAGTTGAGACTGGGTTATCTCTTCTTCATACCGCGTCTCTACCACTTACATTTTGGCCTCATGCGTTTCAAACATCAGTCTATCTTATCAATCGTCTTCTCACCCCATTACTCAATTATGCCTCTCCCTACGAGCGTCTCTTTAAGTCCACCCCTAATTATCTCAAATTACAGCCTTTTGGTTGCTTATGCTTTCCCTGGTTACGCCCTTATACTAGTCATAAACTTCAACCCCGGTCTATTCCGTGTATCTTCTTAGGGTACCTGGTTTCTCAATCTGCCTATAAGTGCTTTGATCCCGTGTCCACCAAAGTCTATGTTTCCCGTCACGTTAAATTTGTCCCACACGTTTATCCAGCTGCCTCCCTATTCTCGTCCACCGTCTCTTCTTCCAGTATACCCACACCATGTAATTCATTTTCCTGGATTCCTTCTATCCATAAGCCTATGTCTCCCACGTCACCTACTCATATACTCTCCAGTCAGCATCTTCATCATAACCATTCCTCTCTTCCATCCTTATCTACTGCCGTCAACACCCCCAACTTACCACCCACACCCATGTCCTCCCCAGATTCATCTCCTCACTCGTCCCATGTTTCTGCCCATCCACCACTTACCGACACTTCCTTGTCGTCTTCTAATCCACCTTTCACTAACTCTTCCACTCTTCCACCGTCTGATTCTCATAACCATATTCCTTCTCGTCCATCACGTTCCAAACATCCTAATCCTAAGTATTTCGGTCCTTCCTTTGTTAATATATCCACCGTTCATACTCCTGTCCAAACAATTGAACCTCGGACCGTTGCTCAAGCTCTAAAGGATCCACTCTGGCGGCGTGCTATGGATGAGGAGTACTCTGCCTTACAACGAAATGAGACTTGGGATCTTGTGCCTCACACTGGTCAGTCTATTGTTGGTTGCAAATGGATCTTTCGTATTAAACGCAAATCCGATGGGTCAATTGATCGCTACAAAGCCCGTCTCGTAGCTAAGGGCTATTCACAGGAAGCAGGACGTGACTACTCTGAGACCTTCAGTCCTGTTATGAAGCCTGTTACAGTCCGTATTGTTCCTCTCTTTAGCTTTACAGAAAGGTTGGTCAGTCCGCCAACTTGATATTAATAATGCTTTTCTCAATGGAACACTTCATGAAGAGGTTTATCTTGCACAACCACCAGGCTATGTTGATACTCAGCATCCTACACATGTTTGTCGCCTCCGGAAGGCACTCTATGGCTTGAAACAAGCCCCTCGGGCTTGGTATGTTGAATTATCAAATTTCTTAATCCAATTTGGATTTTCTAAATCCAAGGCAGATCCCTCATTGTTTATATATGCATCCCGCGGTGTTCTCCTGTATTTTCTCGTCTACGTTGACGATATTGTTCTCACAGGTAACAACACTGTCTTCTTGGATCAATTCACCCGTATCCTTGCAGCTCGGTTCTCATTGAAAGACCTGGGATCTCTTCATCATTTCTTGGGTATTGAAGTTATAACCACCCCATCTGGTATGTTTCTCTCTCAGACGCAATACATTAATGACATTTTAATCCAGTTTCACATGGATGGTGCTAAACCCGTTTCTACTCCTATGGTCTCTAATGAACGCCTTCCACTTGCTGACTCCTCCCGCGCCGTTGATATTTCGGACTATCGTCGTCTTCTTGGACTACTTCAATATCTTGCACTCACCCGTCCTGACATTTCTTTCTCAGTTAACAGGCTCTCTCAATACATGCATGGGCCCTTGGAAGCTCATTGGTTGGCTGCAAAAAGAATTTTACGATACCTAAAGGGTACTACTTGTCATGGGCTATTGTTACGGGCTACTCCTTCAACGGGTCTTACTGTTTTTACTGATGCAGATTGGGGTGGCACCTCCACATCTGGACGATCTACCACTGCATTTATTATTTATCTTGGCAATAATGTTATCTCCTGGAAGTCAGCTCTTCAAAAGTCTGTGTCTCGTTCCTCCACGGAGGCCGAGTATCGGGCTATTGCTAATGCCACCGCTGAAGTACTCTGGATTCAAAATCTTTTATCTGAACTTACCGTTTCTTTATTGGCACCTCCACAGCTCTTTACTGACAGTCTGAGTGCTACTTATGTCTGCAAAAATCCAGTCTTTCACTCACGCATGAAGCATCTTTCACTAGATTATTTTTTTGTCAGAGATTTAGTTACTGCGGGGTCCCTATCTGTTCAGCATGTCTCTTCCAAAGCTCAGCGTGCGGACGTTCTCACCAAACCGTTAAGTCGGGCACCCTTTCTTTACTTTCGGTCCAAGATTGGAGTCTCTGACGGATCCTCCATCTTGCGGGGGCATATAAAGGATAAACATTAACTTATTTAATCATTAATTAATTAGTGTATATCCTTCTGTAACTACTTATGTATATGTCTCGTGTAACTGACTACATGGAGTCATACTAGGACTCTATTACTAGCTGCATATATACGGATGTAATACTCAGTTTCTAATATCAAGAATACACATTCTCTACAATCTTACCAGAAAGGCTTAAAATATGGGATTGTATTCAAAACTGAAACGGCTGACTCGGAGATAGAATCGAATCGAAGTAATCACTGATCAAGTAATCAGCTGCAAATAGTTATAAAGAAAAGGCCTGAACTGCAAAAAAGGAGATTAAAAGAAGGATAAAAATATGATCTTTAACACGATTTTTTTAAAAAGATGAAGAATTATTGAGTTTAACTACTCCCACCATAACTTCTTATATGAAGTGATCTTTATGAAATACTATGCTAAAACTGCAAAGGGTCGTCTCTGGTTGGAAGAAAAGTATTATGGAAAAACTCATTTGGAAGTAATTATTGAGTGATGCATAAATATCTCGAAGTGGGAGGAGAAATGAGTGATATGATGAATCTGTAACAGCTTACAGGTGGAGAAGGAGAGACAATGACAGATGTTTTATATGCAGAAGAAAGGCACCCAATACAAGAAAGAAACCACAAGAAAACAAAACAGAGTAAATAAAATTAGAAAAGGGACAAAAAAAACAAAATTACGAAATAACCAAAGATCAAAATTGGAAGGCTGTAGAGCTCCTAATTTGAGTGACAAATATTTAATGAGTAAATATAAGAAACCAAAATGATAGCGGTGAAAAAAATGTGATTTAATATCGTTTGATAATTATATTGTAATCATTATCATATAACTTTCAACACAATTATAATTACGGAAAGTTATTTTATTGCAATTTTATCCACACTCTTTTTGGTAATATTTTAGAAAAAAATTCTGAATAAAATTCAACATATTTATTAATGTTGAAATAGAAAAATACATTTTTGGGTTCAAAGTTGAATTTGAATTTAAACATTTTTTTTATTTGGACTGAAGTTTGCTGGTCTGATCTATTCTGAACTGATCTGGTATGGTAAATGTATGGTCTTTGTGTATTTTACAACTGTCAAGTGTGGTCTAGTCTGATCTGATCTAGTCTGGAACTGAAATAAGTCATATTAATTAAAAACGTTAATGAATCCTACTTTTGGTCCGACGAGTATCACAACAATTCCACAATTGGTCCACATTTTTTACTTTGACCACTTTTGATACATGACTATTGTGTTTTCTCCCATATATGATCTTTCCTTCAATGTTTCCGGTTGTTGAAATCGCCAGAAAAGGGCGACAAATGGTAAAAAAAAATTAGTCAAGTAACAAAAGTGGATAAATTGAAAGACGTGAACTAAATTTGGAATTGGCATAAAATTCATCGGCGAAATTGACATAAATAATCCCTACTTTTATGCATTTTACAAAAATAATCCCTACCAAAAAAGTTTACAACAATAATCCGAACTACTTAACTCTTTTATAGAAATAAACCGGAGTTAACGGTGTTAACTTTTCCGTTAGTTTTTTTGCATTTTAAATATAATGAAGCGAAAATATGTACAAAAATCAAGAATATTATATATTTCGTATATTTGTCCTTATATTTAATTTCATTATGAATTAAATTTAATAGTCATTATTTTTCATAAAATGTAATAGAAATATTTATAAACATACTCATCAAATTCTCAATTTTCTTTTAGTTCTAATCAATATTTTATATATATTCATTGTAATAGAGATTTAAAAGTAATTTTAGTAATTTTATATTAAACATAACTACGTACTAAAATGAATACAAGTCTGTGTTCAAATATTTTTATTACATTTTACAAAAAATAGTTATTATTAAATTTAATTTATAGTAGAAATAAGACTGAACAAAAACATATATTATTAATGTTTTTATATATATTTGCTTCATTTTATTTTAAATTATAAAAAAAAATAACGGAAAAGTTAACACCGTTAACTTCCGGTTTATTTTTGTGAAACAATTATCCGGTTGGGATTATTGTTGTGAACTTTTTCAGTAGAGATTATTTTTGTAAAATGCCTAAAAGTAGAGATTATTGGTGTCAATTTCGCCATGTTTTTATATATATTTGCTTCATTCTATTTTAAATTAAAAAAAAATAATGGAAAAGTTAACACCGTTAACTTCCGATTTATTTTTGTGAAACAATTATCCGGTTGGGATTATTGTTGTGAACTTTTTCAGTAGAGATTATTTTTGTAAAATGCCTAAAAGTAGAGATTATTGGTGTCAATTTCGCCAAATTCATAGGACCACAAGTGGAATTAATTCAAAAAACACACAAGTTCGGACCTT